CAGTCTTTAATGTCCCCTGAAGTGCAGGATGTGGCAGGATGCTCTGCCTGGAATGTGCGCAAGGGACAGTACTCTATTTTTGTCGCCATCGGGGCAACATTGAGAGGGGTCTTGATCTGATTTTGGTGCTGAATTGGGCTAAAACCAGCCCAAATCACAATTCCCAAATAGACAACTGAGGATGAAGTGCCAGAGCTGGACCTGGCCATCTATCAACTGACCCTGGGAGTGTCCATCCCACTTTCCATCAGAGATTCCTCTCCCCTATTCCTGTTTGGAATGAAATGTGTGTGACATTCCTCTGTTGGGAAGGGGAAGCTCTTCAAGGGTCCTCGTCGAGGTTGAGAGAAAGAGACGTTGCCAGGAGTGTTGACCGGGGAGTGGCATCGAGCTCCGCATAAGAATTGTCACTTTTGGCTGGCTGTGACCGACTTATTTAATGGAATTGTTGTGATAGAATTATTTATTAAAATGTGTTTGCCCAATGGCTTTAGTATGCACAGTGGTCAGTGTGGCTGTGGTAGCCTTGTATCTCAGGGAGTCTTGGTGATCACGGTGGCCATGGCTTCCACTGTGACTACGGTGACCTCAGTGACCTTGGCAGCCTCATGGCTCAGAGGATCCTGGTGTCCACTGCCAGAGCTGTGGCAGCTAGGAGGAGTCCTCTGAGGTGGAAAGGGGTGCTGGGGATGCTCCGACCTGAGGGACAAAGAGAGGGATCAGAAGGACCATGTGGGGAGGGAGGAGTTTGGGGATGGCCATAATGGGGAGTGAAGGGTTACAGGAGTGATGGGGGCCATGCGGTGATGCATTGCAGGATGTTGGTGGGGGCACGGTGATCTCTTGGGAGCCAGGGAGGTCAGGGGTTCATGGTGGGCTTAAGGGTGACAGGGGTGAGGGGGAGCCATGGGGGTTCCTGACCCATCCTCATCCAGCACACAGGGCCCGTCCTGTGTGCAGCACTGCCCATGGCAGGGAGGGACAGGGTCAGAATGGGGCTGTCCCTGTCTCTGTCCCTCTCCCTGTTGTCCCCTGGCAGGGTGTCCCTGTCCGTGTTCCCACCCAGAAGTGTGAGCCCCCATCCCTGTGTCCTTTCATGCGCATTCCTATCCCCGTGTCCACAACGGGTGTCCCCAGCATGGGCTATCCTTGTTTTCTCACACACTGTGGGTGTCTCTGTCCCAGTCCCCATCCCCAGTGAGTGTCATTGTCCCCTGTGCCCTGTCATGGATGTCGCATGGCCACAGTGGGTTTCCCATCCCCCCAGGCCGTTCCTGTGTGCTCTCACCTCACACCGCTTGCAGTTGTATTCGCTAAAGGTCCTGGTGGAGCAGAGCTGGATCTGTGTCTTGTTTCCTTCCTGGGTAATTTGGGTGACATTGAAGGTCTCAAAGGGTGGGATCAGCACCACCTTCTCTTCTGGATGTTCGGTGAAAAACTGCAGTGCCAGGGTCTGGGCCAGGAGGGTCATGGTGAGGAGAGGCCACAGGGACCAATGTGGAGGGACACAGAGGGGACATGGGGGAGACACAGGGAGGGTTCATCAATGAGGGACTGGGCAGAGGAGTGGGGTCAGCAGGGGAGTGGGGTCAGGGGGAAGGGAGGCACTCCTGGCCAGCCAACCCCTGGACACATATGGGTACCCTGATCCCAAATCCTGGGGTTACTTATGCCTCCCCAATATTCCCCCAGACCCCAGGGACCCCAATCCCACAGTACCATGGCCCCCAGAAACCCAATCCTACTCCTATGACTACAAGTCCCCTCAGACGCCCCAGGACCCCGACCCAAATCCGGGGGTCACCCCCTGAACCCACAAGTGTCTGCCTAGGCCTCCCCCCAGACCCCAATCCCACTCCCAGTCACCCGTTTCTTTGGTGTCACCCCCAACCTCAACCCAAATCCAGGCATCACCCCCTGCCCCCAAAGTGTCTGCCAGCCTCCCCATGACCCCAGTCCCACGCTCACCCTCCCGTGCCCCCCCCCTCATTTTCCCCCAGAGCCCCCCATTAACCCAGTCACAGACCTGGGACTCCCCCAGTGTCCCCCCATGTCCGCAATCCTAATCCCTCAGTCCCGTGTCCCCCCACCAAGAGCGCCCAGGGGTGCCCCCAGCCCCAATACCAAAATCAGGTATCAGAAAGACGGATTTCTTTATCAGCACGAACTCACAGCAGATCTCTCCTGGTCCTGGACATCAGGGGGGACCTTGGCAACAGAATCTATTCGTCCTAAACGTATGTATTCATCAAAATGGGCTCCTTAGCTAATACAAAACCAGTTATTTTCCAGTAAATAATCTGCATGGCTCTGCCTCTTTTGGGAAATATTTTTTATTGTCCTGGAGGGTCATAAAAATGGGGTTTCTTGGGGTCATTTTCATTAAGTGTTCCCATAGCTCAGATGACCTTGTCTCAAACTTTTGCTTTGTGCTGCGAAAATGCTCCTCCTGTGTTACAGAGCTTGCTAAAACCCCTCACTGGAGTGCCCTTTATGTCTTTCTCCACAGGTTCCAGCCACATTTGATCTGATCTGCACACACTTTTACATATATTTATTGTTTTTTGCTCATTCTCCTTTAAGTCTTATCCAGTACCTTCAGGAGAACTCAAACTTTCTATTCTCTCTCTTATTTCTCACCCCCTATGACACCAATCACACTGTTCCATGTTCGCCAATTTCCCCAGTCCCACTCCCCACTGCTCACTAGGTTGCTGCCACTCCTCAGATACCACTTGGGGTCCCCTATCAGATGACATCCCTGCAGGCACCTTGAGCCTGGGGATGATCTCTTGGGGGAATGCCTGGGTGACTCCCCTGGCCTTGTTGGTTTGGCAGGAGAAGTTCTGGAGCCCCAAAAAGGGATCCACCAACACCAGGAGATGCCTGAGCTTATGTCGGCGTGGTAGCTCAGAAAAGCCATTTGCCAGTAATCCCCAGGAGTGTTTCCTCTTTCAGTGATGCCTGGAGGTGATGGTTTTGAATTCAGAGTTCTTTTGAAAATATATTTGCATTGCTCTGTAAAAGACCTGACAATTTTGTCCTACAGACACTGAGGATCTGAGGCTGCAGACCTGTTCCCATCACATTGATTCCCCAGAACTTTGCTGGTGTTTTTTCCTTTACAAATTGCAGCATCAGCTGGGGAGGGTCTGACCTGGTTATTGGGAGTTACCCCTCACCCGCCCCCCAGCCACCCTCTTTCTTGTGGGCTTTTAGATAAGCAGCCAATTTTCAATCTGCCAAACTCTGTCCAGGCCTCACCTTTGGCAGTGAAATTCCTTTCTCAGGATTTAACACCAGGATGCTTTGTTGCGGAACTTCTCGTGCAGCTTTAATGCAAGTCTATTTCCCACAGGGATTTGTCAATCCCCAAGCTGCTGTGCCCTGGACTGTAGTACGACCACTTCTTTGGACAGCTGGGAGGAATCAAGGAAGGACATTAATTCTTGATTATATTTAATTGGAGATCCCTGTGATGTTATTGACTGCTTTCTTCCCTTGTGCCTCCATGAGCATGACCAATGCTCAAAGCAGATGGCAAGAAAGTTCCTACATTTCCTCTTTTGCTCACTGCCAATTCCAGTGCTCTCTGTAACACTGCGAGCTCCTCCCTTTGTTCCACCTCCCCTTGACTCTATGGAGAGCAGAGTATATACCATAAACATTTGTCCAAATTGGATTTCCTGGCCTCTTGGATGAGAAGAACAGGCACTGAGGAGTGGGACTGGGGTCCTGGGAGGTGAGAAATAAGAAAGAAAATAGAAAGTTTCACATCCCTTAATGGTGCTGAGTACAGCTTAAAGATGAATGGGCAAAAAACAATAATAGGATGTAAAAGTGCGGACACAGCAGGGCAAAGGTGGCTGGAACACGTGTAAAAAGAGATAAAGGGAACTCCAGTGAGGGGGTTTTGTCAAGTTCTGTAACGCAGAAGGAGCAGCGCCTGCCAAAAGCGAAAGTTTGTGGCAAGGTCATCTGGCATATTGGGACACTCAGTGGAAACCACACTCTGACACCCCATTTTTATGACACCCCAGCACAATAAAAATTATTTCCTAAAAGAGGCAGAGCCATGCAGATCATTTACGGGAAAAGTGCTGGTTTCTCTATTAGATAAGGGACACATTTTCATGAATATTTATAATTATGGTGGATAAATACCCCATGGCAAGGTCCCCCCAGCCTACAGGACCAGGAGAGAGCTGCTGTGAGTCAGAGCTGAGAAAGAATTCCATCTTTCTGATATCTCCACTTCCATCAGAGATCTCACTCCAGTTGATTTTGGTATCAGGGACTAGGGGACCTTTGTGGGGGGAACATGGGACTGTGGGATTGGGGTCTGGGGGGGCGCTGGGGGTGTCACAGTAGAGGAACTGGGGTCCTGGGGTGGTTTGGAGCAGAGATGGGGAACACAGCACCATGGGAGTGGTAGTTGGGTACTGGGGGACACTGGGGCACACTTGGGGCACATAAGACTGGATCCGCATCCAGGGGTCACCAGGGTGATCATGAGACTGGCAGTGGGATTGGGGTGTGGGATGGGGACAAGGGGGACACTGGGGTACTGTAGGCCTTGTTTCAGGGTCCCGGGGATCATGGGGTCACTGAGAGGGGTACAAGGGAATGGGAGAGGGATTGGGGTAATGGAGGCACTGGGAAAATCCAGGAAGGGAGACACAGAATTATGGGAGTGGGATTGAGAGTCTGGGGGACGCTGGGGCATCCAGGAGTGACCCCAGGATTTGGGATCAGGTTCCAGGGGTCTCCTGGCCACGTCTGCCTCCTCCCTGGGCTGACCTCACTCTTCCTCCCCAGCTCCACCCCAAGGAAACCTCCCCATGTCCCGCCGTGTCCCTCAGAGTCCCCTCTGTCCAACTAGTGTCCCCTCAGCATCCCCTGGTGTCCCCCAGTGTCTTCCCTATGTCACGCAGTTTGTCCTCTGTGTCCCCTCTAGGTCCCACAGTGTCTCACACTGATCCCTGTGGCCTCTCTTCTCCATGGCCCCCCTGGCTCACACCCTGGCACTGCTGGCAATGACCGTGGCCACTGTGGCCATCACGATGGTGCCCCTGGACATGGCCCAGAACTCCTTTGATGACCAGTACCTCAACTGTGGCCCTGCCATGATTGCGGCATTGCCGGCCCTCAACAGCTCCGAGTTCCAGGAGAACAAGAAGTTTTCCCAGGTCTGGGTAAAGGCCACGGCTGAGTGGCAGAAGCGGGGCTCCTCTTCATCCCCTCTGACCAAAGAGCAGGCCATCGCCCTCATGGCCTACACAATGAAGGACGTGTACAGGGAGTTCAATGAAGCTGTGCGCACAGCTGGAAAGTCCCGCCAGGAATACCAGGACAACTTCCACTTCAAAACGCTGCATTTCCTGCTGACCCAGGCCCTCCAGAAGCTAAGACACCCTAATGAGTGTCAGAACGTGTTCCGGGGAATAAAAATGTACCAGTTTAAGGTGAACACTGGCGATAAAGTCCGCTTTGGTCAATTCGCTTCATCGTCGCTGGACAAAACAGTGGCCCAGGGTTATGGGACAGACACAATGTTCGAGGTGTACACATGTCACGGCGTGGACATCCAGGCTTTTTCCTACAGTTCTAGAAACCGTGAGGTGCTGATCCCACCCTTTGAGACCTTTGAGGTCACTGATGTCAACACAGAGGGAAGCACAATGAACATTGGTCTTCGCTCCACTGGGAACTCCAGCAACTACAACTGCGAGTGGCTGCGAGGTGACATCATGGGAACAACCTGGGGGGATGGAGACACTCAGTGAGGGTTGGGGACAAGGACGCACAGTGATGGGGACACCCATGGCCCAGAGGGGACAGGGATACACACTGTGGTTGGGAGGCAGGACACCCAGAGCTGGGGACAAGGTTGGGGACAGCATTGTTTGGGCACAGGGGATGGGGACACCAGTGCCAAGCGAGTGGAACAGGGACATCCAGTGCAGGGGTTGGGGCCACAAGGTACATGGTACATGGCTGGGTACAGAGGAAATAGACCTTGATATGGTCCCCTCTGAGCCCACACCCTCAGGGCCCCCAACCACCTCTGTCCCTCTCCCCATGGCCCTCCTGATGCCCACCTGACTCTCTCGCCCCATGATCCTCCTGACCCCTCTCTTTGTCCCCACAGGTGGGAGCCTCCCCAGGAACTCCCCCCACCTTGGGGGTGTTCTCCTGGCTACTGTGGCCATGGCAGTGGCCATTGGAACTCTCTAAGCCACGAGGCCACCAAGGTCACGGTGGTCCTGGAGGCCACTGTGGAAGGCCACCAGGACGAAGGCCACAAGGATCCCCAGAGAAATGAAGCCACCAAGACTACCGAGGCCATTATGACCACTATGGCCCCTTTGTCCACTGTGACCACTGTGGCTGTTATTGCCACTACAGCCACTCTGGCCACTTTGGTCTCTATGACCACTCTGGCCACTCTGGGCATTAAAATCACCATGGTCAGCATGGCCATTGGGCTCACAGAGACCCATATATATCACCGTGGCCCACTGTGACTACTGTGGTCACTGTAACTGCTGAGGCCACCATGGCCACCGTGGTTCCCAAGGTGACCAAGGTCACCGTGGCCACCACAGCCATGGGGGCCACCACAGTCATTGTAACAAGGCGTCCATCCAGGGGAAGTCCCTCTTAGAGCTGCCCAGTGAGAGAGCAATGCCAGGGCAGCAGGACCTGCATGAGGGGGGCTGGAGCCGCCAGGACAGTGCAGGACAGCACACTCCCAAACCCCTCTATGGGGAAGTGCCCAAGCAGCCCCAGGCAACTGGGCATCACCTGGGGCCACTTGAGCTCTTCCCCATAGAGGGGTTTGAGAGTGGCAATGTCACAGCCACCTGCTAATGTTCCTTGGCTGCCTTGCCTGATGTAGTAGTAAAGTGCTGCTTGTTCATCTGCCATATAAGAAATGTATAAGAAACTTGATCCTTGCTTGCCTGGTGCACCAAATGTTAATCAGAAATTTGATCCTTTCTTACCTGGTCTATCAAAATTTACCAAAATTTGTTTCTGGCTCGCCTGGTGTATCTGCTACAGCTCCTTTAACGCCTTTCCTGCAGAGCACCTCATTTCCTAAAATAAAACATTGTGAGACTCTGTCCAAAGTTCCTCTCATCTGCCTCGCAATCGTCATTGGGGACCACTGAAGAAAAGACCCTCGCCTGAAACTTCTGGCCCTGTTGCAGAAAGTCCCTTGCCGAGAACTCTGAGACCTGAGCATAAGTTCCTGACTTGCTAAGCTATTGTTCACAGGTGTGTTTGCTATATGCTGCACTGAACCCAATGAAAAGAAGAAGGGGCCACCTTGCCCTTTTTGCAACAGTAGCCTTGGAAGAGTTCCCACCTCTCAGCCTGGCAGAACCTTTCCTGAGTTTTGGGTGGTCCCCCACAGAATACCCCTCTCACCCGTTTGCAACCGCCATGACAGGCAGATTGAGATGTAAGAAGCCTCTTCATCACAAAACCAAGACATGTGAAAAGGCCACAAACTATCACAAAACCCGTCCTTGAGGACAGCATGTGACAGGCTGGTTTTAGCCCAATTTAGCAACAAAATCAGCACAAGACCCCTCTCAATGTTGCCCTGAAGGGAACAAATGGGCCATTGTCCCTTTGTCTCATTCCAGGCAGAGCATCCTGCCACATCCTGAACTTCACAAGGGGACCTTAAAGCCTAGAAGCTGGGAGGTTCAAAAGGGAAGGGCTGGTCCTGTCCCTTTGGGAAGGACAGTCCCCAGGGTCGGTTCAGGCTTGTGGGAACTTGCTGGAGCAGCTCTGGAAATGAGCCTGAGGGTGCTGTTGAATGACCAGTGGAGCTGGTTGTGTGGCTTGGGGCCAGGAGGGGTCCAGGGGGCATTGAGAAGAGCAGGGAGTGCCTGTGCCCCTCTGCCCTGCCCAGGGAGGCACATCAAGAGTGCTGTGTCCACCAGCACCCCCAGGTTCTTCTACAGAACTGCTTCAGCAGGTCCCACCCAGCCTGGACTGAGACTGAGGACTGTCCCTCCAAAAGGGACAGGACCTGCCCTTCCCTCTTGAACCTGACAATTTCCAGCCTTTAAGGTCCCCCTGAACTGAAAAATGTGGCAGAATGCTCTTCCAGGAAAGTGGCCAAGGGACAATGCCCCATTTGTGGCCATTGGGGCTGCATTTAGAGGGCTTTTGTGCTGATTTGGGTGCTAAATTGGGCTAAAACCACCCCAAATCACCAACCCTGAATTGACAACTGAGGGTGAATGCCAGAGCTGGGCATGGCTGTCCATCATCTGACCCTGGGAACATCTAATCCCCTCTCTGACAGGGGTTCCTCTCCCCTATTCCTGCTTGGAATGAAATGTGTGTGAGGTTCCTCTCTCAGGATGGGGATGCTCCCTCAGGATTTTCCTCAAGGTTGAGAGAAAGAGACATGAGTGTTGCTGTGGGGAGTGACAGCGTGCCCTGCTTAAGAATGGTCACTTTTTGCTAGTTTTGATAGATTTGTTTCTTAGAATTCTTTTGACTCATTTTTTTTAATACAATTGCATTGCAAAATAGTATGGGGAGCCACGGTGTCTGTGGCTGAAGGATTCTAGGTGACCATGGTGGCCACAGTGACCTTGGTGGTTATTGCGACCATGCTGGCCAGAGTGGCTGTAGTGGCCTTCATAGCCTTGGAGGCCTTGTTTCTCTGGGGGTCCTGGTGTTTTTGGTGATCGGGGAGGCCACAGTGATGATGGTGACCGAGGTGATCATGGTGGCCATGCTTGCTACAGTGACCACAGTGACCTTGGAGGCTGTGGTGGTCTTGTGGCTCAGAAGATCCCAGTGGCCACTGCCAGGGCTGTAGTGGCCAGGAGGAGTCCTCCAAGGTGGAAGGTGGCCCTGGGGACACTCCCACCTGGGGAACAGAGAGACGGACATCAGGGGGATCGTGTGGGGAGTGAGAGGGTTGGGGACGGCCATAATGGGGGGGTTACGGATGACAGGAGAGATGAGGGCCATGAGGTGACAGGTGACAGGGTATTGGGAGTGGCACAGGGGGCACAGGGGCCTGGGAGGTCAGGGAGGTTATGGTGGTCCTAAGTTTGACAAAGGTTAAGGGGATTCAGGGAGTTCCATAGGGAGTTCCTGGCCTACCCACATCCAGCACTCAGGGCCTGTCCCCACAGCACTGTCTTTGGTGAGGGGGGACAGGGTTGAAATTGGAGGGGGAGGGGTGTTTTGTGGAGAAAAGAAGAAACCTCACAACTTTCTATAAGTTGTAAAGCTTGGTATGTTTATTACGGCGCCGGACACATGCGGAGACTGCTCTCCTCAAAAAGGCATGTGTCTGGCGCCTTAAGAAACATACCAAGCTTTACAACTTTTAGAAAGTTGTGAGGTTTCTTCTTTTCTCTGCAAAACATTATGGTGAGCCAAGCCGGGAGTTCTCTGTCCCCACAGGGGCAGAGGGGATAGACAGACCTCCAAGGCGCGCCCTAGGATTTTTTTTCCTGGTGGGGCTCCGCTTGTCTTGACTTGCCTCCTGCGAGGACAGACAAGGACCTGCTGGCTTTGGAGGGAGATATGGTATGTACTGAAGGGCCCCCGGGGGGGAAAAGAAAGCTAGGGAGTAAATCACTCAGAGACGTCTGGGTACAGCTGATGGAGCAGCTACAGTAGAGACGGGGTTCATTGTTCTGATAGGGCAGACCGCTAGCGACTCTAGGGGTGGATCGGGTGAACCCATGTATGTGTGTATTGGGGGTACATTGTTCGGATGGGGCAGAACTGCTGAGCCCGCGTGTGTTTTGTTTGTGTGTGTGTGTGGTGTCCGGACACTGTGTTGCTTTATGGTTAATGCATTGTGTGGTCAGTGCACTGTGTTTGTAATCGTGCAAGCGTATAAGTGTATGGTGTATAAAAGAGAGTAGATCTACAGTGCTCTACAGTGCGGGGGCATGAGTACTACCCATGTTTGAAGCAGTCGAGTGAGGCCTGAGGCGCCAGCTGCAGCAGGCTGTGGGGGCAGGGAGAGAAGTGCCCCGCGGAGAAGCGAGTGGAGGAAAGTCAGTGACGGTATTTATTGTGTTTAAATGTAGTGATTTGTGTAGATTTGGTACATTTTAACCGTGAGTACAAGCTCAGAGAGTTCCTTTGCCCTGGATGTTTGGACTTGATCTCTAGACTGTGTTCTGTTATTTTGATTGTGTCCAGGAAAAACTGATGTGACTAAATGCTGAATTATGGTATGCTGTGTTGTGTTGAGAAGAGTGGGCACTCTGAGAGATATGCCCTTTCCCAGTGATTTTGTGTGGTGATTTTCTTCCACTGCATTGTGGCAATTTGATTCTCAGATTGTATAGCAGTGTTTGTGGAGATTTTCAGATTTTGTTTGCAACAAGAGTAGCATTTTACACAGAAGGACTATGGTATAGTAATTTATATTTATAAATATAGGACTATTAATAGTGATTTAGCATAAATCACTATACCATAGTCCTTCTGTGTAAAGGACGATAAAGCAAATTAAAGGAATTCCAAGAATTCTCCCCCTCACAGCAATTCAAGCCTTGGCTCTAGTGAATTTGAGATAAGGGGGGGGGGGGGTGCATGTGTGTCTGTGTCTGTGGGCATATCAGAGTTTCGGCTATGATAAGCACAGCCTTTTTGCAAGGCAGTAAAACAAGTGTAAGTAGACACAGTGCTTAATTAGATTGTGCAAGAAGAGAACTAGAAAAGACTGATATTTTGTAAAACAGAGTTTAGATAGAAGAGATTAATTAGTTTACCATAGCAAGTCTGGACTGGGAACAGCCTGCTGTAGGGATTTAAAGTTCTCTGTAACAAACAGAACAGCCTGCCTTTGCAGGCAATTTTGGAGAGCCTTTGGTGCATCAAGAGGCTGGCACGCTGCGTGAGGTGACAGTGGTTGTTCCCTGAGCACAGGGACAGCTCTGGCTGCCCTGTCTCCCCAGGGAACAAGGGAAGGCCCTGTGGGCAAAAGCTGGATGTGCAGGTATTATTGCAGTGCGGTGTTTGTGAGAAACGCTGGTATTGCTGTTCTAATAAGCGTCAGGGCACATGCCCCTGAGTGTAAATCAAAGGTTTCTGATCAAGCTGATTCAGAACCTAAGATCTTAAGGCTCGTGTGTGGAAATCGCATCTGATACATGCCACCTGGAGCTCTGTGTGTGTAGGAGGAAGACCGAGAAACTACTCTGAATCTTTGTAAAGGGAAGTTTGGGTGGAAG